CTTGTTTCTCTGCAGACTCTCAACGGAAGAACTACTTCTGTGAGAGCTGATACTGGGTCTTTACATGTTGGGGGAAACTAGCTGTGAACAATGCCTATGATGTTGTATGGCATTGGTGCCGATGTAAAGGCAGGCCGGGCGTTGTTGCCGATGTAGAGGCAGGCCGGGATCGACTGACACCTATAAGTTTCAAAATTCAAACTTTGACGTCTCAAAGCAGATTTTTTACTTATATAGCAATCATTTATTTGATGGTATGCCAACATTACTTTCTTTGTCAGCATAGAATTAGAAATTACCAATATGGTTATTGTCCGAAATAGGGTCGACATGTTGTATAAGTAAAATTAATGTCCCGTATATAATAGAGAGAGAGGTCACTTTAACAATTGTGATAATAAATAAACTTTACTTGACCGGAGAAAAAATGGTATAAAACGTGGTAAACATAAAATTTAAGGAATAATTGTAACGTCATCTATGTCCAAAATTTATGTCAAATATCTGTCACAATAGATATATAGATTCTACCACTGCTTTGAGTTTGATACGATATTTCAATGATCCGCTCGAGACAGTTAAATATTTAAAATTTAACTGTCGAGAGTGGATAAACATCGTATTGCACGAGATTTGGTGGTGGAATATGTTTCTCTAATGATTTTTAGACGATATGCAGACAATCGTAATCCTTACTTTCGACACGGGGGGGGGGGGGGGGGGGGGGGGGGGGGGGGGGGGTCTCAACATGGGATTTTGGGTACAGTTGTGTAGCTGGGATTTGAAAAAAAAACCCATTCATATATTGAATAATTGTGAAATCCCTACCTATACATATATTTCACAGCGAAATCATTATTTGATGGTATGCCAACATTACTTTCTTTGTCAGCATAGAATTAAAAATTACCAATATGGTTATTGTCCGAAATAGGGTCGACATGTTGTATAAGTAATATTAATGTCCCGTATATAATAGAGAGAGAGGTCACTTTAACAATTGTGATAATAAATAAACTTTACTTGACCGGAGAAAAAATGGTATAAAACGTGGGGGGGGGGGGGGGGGGTCTCAACATGGGATTTTGGGTACAGTTGTGCAGCTGGGATTTGAAAAAAAAACCCATTCATATATTGAATAATTGTGAAATCCCTACCTATACATATATTTCACAGCGAAATCATAACCCATTCATATATTTATCAGCTCAAATAGTACCTATATGCATATACAATCTTATTATATATTAAAAAAATTTAATGACAAAGAGTTTGGGAAATTCAGTGAAGATCGTTGCACAACAAACTGAAAAATTATGACCCATTCTTCTTCTGGTAATCTTCTTCCGTCCACGTTGGGACAACCTCAAATGAGTATTATTCTGTCATCTTTATGTACAGTAATCCGTCACCATAGTAAAATCACCAATTTTTATATACACCATATATACACTATAGTCATCAGGGTGAAATTAACACTAAAAGTTCACGGCACACTAGCAATATATTTTTTTCTCTATTAGATAGATTACATTTATCTTTTCTTAATGTCCAACGTTCTATATCTAGCTACGTGAAGAGCATAAATCAACTGTCTTGAAATATCTTCTATTCTTTGGTATAATTTGTTATCACTTGTATATACCGGGAAAGTAACACGGTGCAATCCAAGATAATTTGTATTTGGTCATTAGTTGGTATGTCCCTCATTCTAAAGTTAAAAAAATCAGTAATAATTTCGTCATTGATATATCACAATTGGTCAATTATTACCTATTGATATATTTCCTCGGTAAAATTGCACCCCATTCATATATTTGACGTATCAAAAAAGGGACCCATTCCAGCGGCACATATGTATATACCTTCATATAGGAAGAGACCCCCCCCCCCCCCATGACTTTCGAATGATATGTATATGTTAGAGTTAAATGTGGTGCTGTTTTATTACCATTTATTTGCATGCTGCATGCCTTGTTTTTACTTGTTATTGCATATGTTTTTATTAGAGCTTATGTTATAATATGTTTGCCAATATGCCGAATCAAAATAAAGTTTTACTTACTTACTTACTTGATCTGCAAAAAGAGGTGTTCTTTCTATGTGACGTAATCAGGCATGGTCGCCTTTTTTCATGACGTCACAATAGAGAATTCAGAGGAAAGCAAGAAAGTTTGACGTCATAATCGAATTTTATGAAGAACTGAGTCTGAGATCAAACGAACCACACGTTGATTAAATAAAAATAATCAACAGGTCAGGAAAAGGATAAATCGGATAAGAATTAGAGAAAAAAAAATAATCAACAGGTCGGGAAAGGGATAAATCGGGTAAAAATTAGAGAAATGTTTATATATATATATAGGACCTTTTTAGTGAAATAAATAAAGATTATATTATCTTATAATTTGGTTTGAACATTTGACATATCAACCATACCGACTCTAAATATATTATCAATGTATTCATTTATACAGTAAACTGTAAATTATCGTGTGCTTAAAATAAAACCGCACACATTTTAATGCATGTTTCTACATCTATTTATTTCAAATAATCATTATTTAAATATCTTAATGCTAAATTTATTTTTTTTGTCGCTATAAAGGAATAATTATTCTTCTTGTCGCTTTTTTACGCTTCTTGACGCTTCTTGTCGCTAATTAGTGAAACCCATAATTTTCAGCGAAATGTTTACATCCTTCCTGGGGCGTGTTTTTTTGTTCTTCGGTAGTGAGCCAGAAGAAGTCCATTTCTGTTTTTTTGCATAGGGAAGATCTTCTGGCTCTCTTCCACCTCTTCTTTTTGATAGGTAGTTTAGACGGCAGAGGCACATAACAAACATGGCGTCGTTTAGTCTAAACTGACATTAATAAATTTATGAATGCAGATGTATTAGAATGTGAGCTGTGTTATAAACGTTTTTATGGTATGACAGTCTTAGTAGGACATCCCTGTAGGACGATAAGCTGAATAAATATATGAACTACACGGACAATAACAGTTAAGGGACGACTATTTGATATTCTAGGGAAGGGATTTTGATTGATTGGTGTTTAACGCTACTTTCAACACTAAGTTGGGCTATTCCGTGGTGGTCAGTTTAAATTTATATATGAAGGAAGGGAAGAGGGCATTATTAACTTAATTTTTTAATCTGTCGCTAATTATGTCTATTTTTCAGCTCTTACCAGCCAACCATATTCATATATGAAATCCTCCTGTCCCCCACCCCAATAAATGAATGAATATCAAATGGTTTTTCTTCTTATTTAACACAAGTTTAAATTGATTGATTGTTTGTTGCTAATTTTTAACGCGCAGTGACAAATATGTCCTGCATGTTCAGGACTCGGTTCAGGAAACACGAGTTTAAAAAACAGGTAAATAAATAAAAACGAAGAAATGTATGATTGCTAATGAGGCAACTATCCACCGGAGTTCAAATATGAAGTGGATGTAAGCAATTATAGGCAACCGTAATTAAGGCCTTCAACAATGACAAAACCCGATACTGTCAAAAGGCCCGACGTGAAAAGTGTGAGAATCAATTCAAACGAAAAAACTTCAAGTACGGCCTAATTATACATAACAAAATAATTTACAAAATATCAAATATGAGTCGAGACATGAACCAACCACAACAACTAACTAAACTACAGGCTCCTGACTTGGGACAGGCACACAAATAATATGGAAGGGTTGATATAAAAACGAAGATTGCCAATGAGACAACCCTCCACAAGAGACCAAATGACACAGAAATTAACAGCTATAGGTCACCGTACGGCCTTCAACAATAAGCAAAGCCCATACCGCATAGTCAGCTATAAATGGCCCCGAAATCACAAATGTAAAACAATTCAAACGAGAAAACTAACGGTCTAATTAATGTACAAAAAAATGAACGAAAAACAAATATGTAACAAACGACAACCACTGAATTACAGGCTCTTGACTTGGGACAGGCACATACATACAGAATGTGGCGGGGTTTAACATGTTAGCCGGATCCGGCACAACCAGCCCTCTAACCTGGGACAGTGGTGTAACAGTACAATAACAAGTTTGTGAGCGCTCAATCCTCCCCGAAGCTGGGACAGTGGTGTAACAGTACAATATAAGAACAACCTGCACAAATCAATTGCAATTAGATTAACTCAAAAGATCGGTACGAGACACACACAAAAAAAACTTACATTAAGACAATAGACACAAAGCACCGAAATAAGAGTATTTGCAATTACTGGAAGTTTGTTCAAAGCTAATTACAGCTATAGTACTGAAATAAATCTTGTTCTTCCAGACTGAAGTATCAATCAGTACACAACCAACGGATTTATTAAAAATCAAAAGAAGAAAAAACAGTCTGAGAAATGTCTGGTATACATTGTATACTTGCATATAGATCCATATACAATGAAAAAATTTTGAAAAGTGGTGGTCCGAAGGTTTTGACCATCGAAATTATGTAATAGAAATAATAGTTAGGACCAGAAGATTTTCTTCAAGGACCACCAGAGAAAAATGATTTTGAGAACTTTCCGATATCTTTGCTTTATACAAAAATAATCCAGTTTGGTTACTTTTAAAAAATTGGATAGACAAGATGTCCCTTTTGATCATATTCGAGACAAACATTGACGAATTTTTGTGCAGTTTAAGATTATTCTTAAAAATCAAATAGTGGGGGTTTACGCTTGATTTGTCTAGCAAAATTGAGTTAGAGAAAAGAACAAAGAAAAATGTCACGAACAGAGCACACTTTTACAGTCATGTCTACCGGACGTATCTTAATTTTCTATAAAATCATCGTAAACTTCATTTAATATGTCATCCAACACAACAAAAATCTGCTATATTCGACGGCAAATTGAATTTTTGTTTTATTGATCTTCCGTAGAATATCTCCAGAAGAGGTCCAGATTCATTTTTTTTGACTCTTCACCAGAAGACATTCTGGAGATGTGCAGAAGAGACCAATAAAACACGCCCCTGAATAACTGTGACTGCTGTTAGATCTACCATAATATTGAAATGGGTTATTGGTTGTTAATGAGAAATGCCTTGATTGCATTATTGGCGATCAACCTTTTAAAAACAGTTTTCTACCTCTTAGTTCAGTTGTTAATTCGTTTAAGAAATTATCAAAATCTGAAGATGAATTTTGCTTTCGGTTTAGATCTCAGACTCATCACAACAAACAAGAAAAAGTTGAAGTGCTTCTATGAGGGAGGAAATCACTTATACAGATACAGATGGCATACCATCCAGATGTTTGGGTAAACTATGTGAACTTTGCTAAAAAAACATTCCTTCATAACGCATTTCTTCAAAGGAGAAAGTATATCATATCCATGTTTCGTTCTTTTCAGTAAATTCCTCCACTATCTGGAGCACCACATGAATACTGCGTAACAGATCAATGGATTTCGAAAATATAAATATATTATAAAACTTCTTCTGACCTTAGTTAATGTCTTCACAACTACACAGTAGAATATAGTCTATATAGCAACACAGTTATAAACACATTTACCCATAGTCCAAATGATTATGACGTCTTGAAAGTCTATTTTATTTTTTTTCTGTGACGCCTAGGAAGGCGTCACAGAAAAAAAATTAAAATAGCCTTTCAAGACGTCATAATTATTAGGACTAATTTACCCACTGCCTATAAGAAAACGCAATGTACAGCACTCTTAAATTAAAAATCTGTAGTTGCCAACTCATGATATTTTTCAACGGTTTACATGCGAATATTTTGTCACAGGGTGTGTACATGCTTTTTGCCACTTTACACGCCATTACACGCCATAACACGCTTTTTCGTTGTTTTGATTTTTTGGTCGTTAGTTATATCACGATTCTCAAGTTTTTTCATATATAGACGATAAATACCGAAAATTTCGAAGTATTTGTTCGGTCGCCATTGTTTATTTTTCGAGAAATTTAAGTCTATTTTATATTTTAGCAACTGACTATATATATTTACGGAGTGTGTACATAGTTAAAAAGACTTTTAAACCATATTACCCTCAAAAGAGGGGTGTTCCTATTAGAGGAAGCTTACACGAAGAAAAGAAAATAAGATGAACTACAAAAGCCCTTCAGGTAAGTTTGTGAGTAGTTTTTAAGGTTTTGTTATTTTTTTCCGTTCAAATTCACTTTGGGGAAATGTCCAGCAGAAAGATGTTGCTTTTTGGACCTGTACCGTCGTCTTAAAAGCCAAGTGCTAAGAGAAAACGATACATGTGTACGTACCAAAAAAGTTGGGAGTCCGAGTTTAAATGGATCAAAGGCATATTCATGTTATTAATTACAAAGTGTTATGCATCTTAAATATTATCAATCATTTGCAATCATAACAACATGTGTGAGAAGAGTACTAGCTATTTAATAAAGCATTTAATGGTATTCAAATTATAAAATTATTTTTCTTTTTCAGTTTTAAATCAAGGCTCTAGCCAACAGATTTGCACAGGCCATAGGGGATGGGAATATCACAGAACTGTTGGATCAGTTCTCAGAGTACCAGCTGTCTTCTCCTGATGAACTACCCAGCTTTGACCAGGAAATAGCAACATTCTGGGGAGCAATGGCAGACATTAGATGACAAAAAAACATTATTACATTCTTTCAAAGCTTGCTAAAGCTATTTTAGTTCTGCCAAATAGCAATTCTGACTGTGAGAGAGCATTTTCAATTATAAAGAAGATTTACACTGAACTCAGATCAGAACTCAACAATGATACATTGTGTGCATTGTATGTATCATGTAAATTTAACCAAACTGGCAGTTGTTTTGAATATGTGCCTAGATGTGTTGTTTTGAAAGCAGCAAAACAGGCCACTGTTGAATGCAATAAAAGTTTACAGTAGAATATTGGTTTTTATATTGAGAAATTTGTATAATGTTCATATTTAAAAGTCCACATCTACGTCACGCGTTTTCACACGGTTTTTGACATGTCATGTCATGTCATGACATGATTTGTCATTGTCAGAGGTTGGCAACTTTGAAAATCTACTATAATGACTATTGGTTTTAAAAGTCTTTCTTGTCTAATCACATAGCTTCACAGTTAAAACTCTATTTCACATGTGATTTAAAACAAACTTCTAACAACTGTCTCTGGTACAAATGTAGCCTTTCACTATAAAATGTTGTATTTGTAACATCCAATCGATATGAGATACATTTTCTAAAGCTTAAATTTATCCTTGAAAGTAATTTAAGATATATAATATATATCATGTATATGTTAATTAGCTTAACTTAATTAAACCCTTAAAAAATTATCAACTTGTTACTAAAAGGTAAAAGGACTTAAAACAACTACTAGCGCACCTAGCCCTCTGACTAACCCCAGTCTCACCAAACATTATACTATATCAAGCCTTGAGCATCTTTCCCTGTGTAAGGCAAAACACAATCCTCTGGACATCGCTTCTATCTGCTGAGCTATCCCACTGGTTTTTAGTACGATTGACAAAGACAGGTGTGAACTGCCTAGTATCAAATGTAAAAATAGTCTACTACATTTTATATGATTTAATAGATAACTGTCCATTTGTTCCACCAAATATTTCCAGGCTATTTGTAAAATGTTTCCTAGTATTTTCTAACACGTCTAATGTCTTAAAATGTTCAATATCTTCTTCGCCATCTTTACAAAACGGATAAATCTGCTTCCATAGAATTTGGACCTAAAAGCTATCCTTCCTTAGGACATATACTCCAGTAACAATTCTAGCTCTGATACATGCCTTCTTGATTGACATGGTTTCTGAACCTGCAGATATCCAAATATTATGAAGTGTACCAGCAGTCAGGGGTACTACTTGTACAAGTTATTTTTATTTACTTTATTTACTTTTAAAAGAATTTAATTTGTAAGATACTTATACAAGTGTATTTTACTTACTTGTATAGGTAAATTATTTTAATGGCTTAGTTATGTCCCTAAGACATTCAGATTTTGTCATGCCCCCACCGTAGTGGAGGGGGCATTAAGTGCTACCCATGTCTGTCTGTCCTGAACATCCCCAAAATTGGTTCCCGTTCTCTAATTTTAGTTTGCCACAACCAAATAGTATAAAACTTATACACAATACATGTTACCACAAAACACAGATCAAGTTCGAAATTGCGTCACTTTTACTGTTCATGAGTTACATGTATGCCCCTTTATAAACATAAAAATTGCTGAATTTTTCGTTTCCCTTCTCTAACTTAAGTTTGCCTCAACAAAATGTTATAAACCTTATACACAATGCTCCTTACCACAAAACACAGTTCAAGTTCGAAATTGGGTGGCCTCACTTTTACTGTTTATGAGTTGTGCCTGTATAAACATAAAAATTGCTGAATTTTTCGTTTCTGTTCTCTAATTTTAGTTTGCCTCAATCAAATGTTATAAATCTTAAACACAATGCTTATTACCACAAAACACAGTTCAAGTTCGAAATACGGTGGCGTCACTTTTATGGTTCATGAGTTATGCCCTTTATAAATGGAAAATCGTTTCCGTCCTCTAACTTTAGTTTGCCTCAACCAAATGTTATGAAACTTATACACAATGCTTATAATCACAAAACTACGTGAATCCTGCATCTGTATGTGGAAGTTGACTCGTGCATATTTACTAGCTGGGGCATATTTGGCCCATAGACACATTCTCCATTAATTTACTCATGTTACTTATACAAGTAAAAAAAAAAGTCATACTATCTTCTTTTCTGGAATTTCTCAGGACTTCTTTGCTCTAATAGAATTTTTAATTGTCTGTCCTTTGCAGATGTCTTTACTAATCATTAAATTGTAATTTCATAGACAATGAAAATCTCATTTGTCTGTTATCTTCAAAACACTGCTCATTTATAATTACATTCTCAGCCTCCAGGGGGCAATTTTTGAAGGCCCGGGCAATTACTTAATATGATCTTATGATTATAGTTTCTTTGTTGAATTAATGAGATGAAATGTTAAACTCTAATAAAAAATTATGAGCTAACCAGAGAAAAAATTGTTTAAGGCATGTTTTTACATTCCAAAACTTGAGAATTTTAGGGATTGTAAAAACAAAATACTTATACAAGTAAATTTTTTTGAGAAAATTAAGGGGAGATTATTCAAACCTTATAAGAAAATATGAATATAACAAATTTACTTATCATTGCTTATATAAGTATATTATTATATACTTCTTCAAGTAAATAAAAATATTTTGTTCAAGTAGTACCCCTGACTGACCTGGCATCACAGTGGGATTTAGATATACCAAACTTGACTTATTTGCTGCATCTTTTTTCACTATTTTCTTCCAGTGGCCTTTTATTTTCTGTTTTATCATGTTCTTCCATATAGTCCATGTAGTTGGAGATGGCATATTGATTATCAACAAGAGTAAAAATGAATAAGATCATACTGGTCTAGTATATATATATATTCTTTGCATAGATAAACCAACTGTTCGAAGTGTCATCTTTAACTAATATCTGATGAATGCAAATTTCCTTTTCAATGCAGTAATTTTTCAGGATACTGCCGACTCTGATCAATATTTGGTAATGTACATGTATATTGTAGACTCAATTGGTAACTGCCCAAAAAGAATGTATACTTCTGAATCTGCAGTTTGATCTTGAAGATTTTGTATATATATTCTTCCGAACTTTCTTGTGATATTGATTTAGCTCCTGGTATTCCTTTTTCTTTAGTACTACTGATTCAAGACCAAAAATTAACCTTGCCATAACATAAGTAAGTACGTAAGTAAGTAAGTAAGTATATTGTTTATTATTGTGACATGTGTATAATTGTATTACAATAGAATGTATTTTAAAGCAATTAAGATAAGACATTGTAAGAACACCCTGCCCATTGGACCTATATATCACTTCGATGAAATTAACACAAAAAAATGATCAATAAAGTAGTACAGTTACGTGTTATTGTAAAGGAATTGTCTGCGTTATGTAAAAAATTTGCGTAAATATTTTGCAGATTGTCTAGGAAAATATAAAATCAATTGAATTAACTGTTTAGGTAGATTCAAAAAATATTGTTATCCCGGTGTGTTTGAATAAAGGTCCCTTCTCTGTTCTGTATAGTAATCACATTCGATTAGGAAAAGGAATTCATCTTCGACCTTCTTGTTACATAATCAACACTGTCTCCCGTGTATCTGTTCACCAACATAACAGCCTGTTTCCACACGCAATGGCAAAATGCCACATGGAAACTGAGCTAAAGTTGATCTTTCACACTTCTGTAGGT